TTGGAAATATAAATTTCCGTTGCTTACAGTTTTCGTAAATTTTGTTCGCAATAAGAAAAAATTAAGGACAAACAGTAAGAGCTAGCACAAACATATATCAAATAGTCAATTTAGAAAAAAGGGAAAGTTCTTTTATTCACTGTCATTGTTATTTAAGATTGCTTAAGGTTGCTTAAGGTTTACCACTTATATCGCAGGTCATAAAACTATTCACACAAGAACAATGTTATCTTTTTCAAGATTGAGTTTTTGTCGAAGATATAATACATTCTAATCTCAAAGAATTCAGTATTCTGTATTCAGACGGAGAGAACATTTATGTTTGAGAAAAAAGGAATTCTTCTCAAGGACAAAAAAATCCCACAATGGCAGTAAATAAAAAAACTCTCTCTTTTTTCTAAATTGACTATTTGAAATATGTTTGTGCTAGCTCTTACTGTTTGTCCTTAACTTTTTCTTACTGCGAATAAAATTTTCGAAAACAGTAAGCAACATTTATGAAATTTATGATGTTTCCAGTAAAAAAACCATTAGTAGCTGGTATAATTAAAAATTCAGTTGATAGTTTGGTTAATCTCTTACTGGAAGCAAGCAAGCACAAGGTAAGATCTATAACAATAAAATAAAAATCTCTGTGTAAATAATTAAATGTTACATTATTAATATTATTAATATCATTGTATAAATATTGTTTATTGTATTTGTATTTTATAATTAAACACCGAAGACTCGGGATTCTCCTCTCCCTAGTTTGAGGGATAGACCGACTTGTGTACGCAGCGAGAGGTACGACTTGAATATGTTCGTTACGAGCGAGACAATATAATGTCTTGTTTTTTCTCGAATAATTTGATGCGAATATGCTCGTATGTTGATTACAATGTATTCATATCATATTACGTTCATATCATATTACGTGTAATTCTTGTGAGATATTCTTGTACATTCTTGTGGCTCTTCCATGTGAAACTTTATGCATGTTCATGCGAAGTTAATCCTTTGATGAGGGGATGATAATCTTGAAATACTCGTGGTATACATGTATGTATGTACACGTATACGCTCTCTCTCAACACACATAACGTACCTGATCGTGCGAGTTTAATTCTAATGTGTGGTCGGTCGTATTGATTGCGTATTTTTAGATACACCGACGGCAACCCTGCTGTCGTCAAATATTAACCCCCAGCTCGAAATAGATATTTGCCCTCGTCGTCTATACTTATTATTTGCGGAAAGAACAGTTGCTACTTATTTTTCTGGTGACGCATTAAGAAAATAAATAATGACGTCGGGACGTTGGTTTAGAGAATAAGGGATAATTTGTCTTCTTTCGTCATGCGTTATCACGATATATCAAGACAGAATTTACGATAATCATGTTTGAAATTTGTGTGCCTTACGTCAGAAGAGACGAAGCAGCTTTGACGATCATGCTATCGTTTGATTATTACGCCCCCGTAACTATCAATAATTAATTCGTCATGTAACGCGAAGATGAAGAGAAAAGAAGGAAGTACATATAAAAATATGTTTCCAATACTTCTAGATATCAAGGGCAGGATATCTCGATAATTAT